AGGACATAGGGCTTATCAATAGCAATTTTTTTCTGTATGCATTAAGAAAATTCAAGCTCAGGCAAGGAAAGGTCTTACCACATAACTAGTCGGATCTCCACAACTAGTCAGATCGTCACAACTAAGATCAGTTCGGAAGCTATCACCCTGCAAGAGTTTTATTTACAGAGAAAAAATTTTAAATCCTAAGATGTGAATTTATTTCGATTGCTGGCACGTAGCTCATGGAAGTGTATTTACTGTGCCTACCACATTTGTTGTTATTAAAGGAACTATAAGGTTCAGGTTCATATACAGAAGATGTGGCCTTTTGCCAGTGTATTATCTTATATTTAAAGTTGTGAACCATAAAGGTTTATATGAACTGAAGAAGAAATTAATTTCCTTTCAAAATGTTCATCCTCTGCAAGTTGTAAACAATATAAGACCGTATTCACCTTGGAAAATGCCCTAAGCTGAAAATGGAGGTTGGAAGAATAGTAGAGCAAAATATCATAACTAAATTAAAACCACGGGTAGAACATGAACAAAACATAATCTTTTATCAATCTACTTCAGGCAAGAAGTTAAAGAAGCACTGTATCTGAACAAGACAAAAAGCTGCTTGAAATGAGTTCATTTTAAGGTTTTATTTAACTTTACTTATAAAAAGGAAGATTCACAAGTGTTTAAAAGAATTCTAGGTGCATTTTTAATACGCTAAGAGTGTGCACTGTGAAGTACTGTATAAACAGCAACTGCAGTGCTGGCTGCTTGGAAAGAGTGAAAAACTACTCTCAGTCCAGCATTCGTGATTAAATTGTTCTCAACACCTCCCAGAACAAGCAATTTTACTGTCAAAACACACACAACTAATCTAATCAAACAGGAAGGTGCATGATTTCAACATCCCTTAATAAGAATGAAAGTAGTGATTCGCTTACAGACCAAACCTTTTTACTTGTGGAGCTCCCCCATGTGCCGTGAGGCCCTTGTGGGTTGGGGTGGTTTCAGCTCTTTCTTTTTGTTATGTTTTTGGTTTTGTTTTTTCCTTTTTCTGTACTGGTTGTGTTGGGGCTGGATATTGATGGGAGCCCAAGTGCCAGTGTCACCCCCATCTTGGGGCTGCACAGGGCTAGCAGGCTCATGAGTCTGACCCCCGCATTGCCCTGACCAGCACCCGTGGCATCAACCTCTTGGCTGACGTGGTGTGCTGGGAAGCAGTGTGGCAGCACTTGGCTGGCTGGGGAGCCCCCTGAGTAAAAGGGGGTTTGCTGGTGGGGTGCTGGGTGCCCCAGGTGGGACAGGCTGTCTGCATGGCTGTTCTGCTGTGAAGCTGTGTCACTGCTGCTGAAGAGGCCACCCACAGAGGGGCTGTGTAGGGAATGGAGCAGGCCTGCTACACAGCTGTGCTGTCAGGAGACCATCCCCTTCCTCTTTTGTCAAGAAGAGCTTGAGTGACATAATAAACTGTGAGACAATGCACCTTCCCTGTGCAGCCAGATTGCCATGTTGTGCAGCAGAGGAGGCCATCTTGTGTGGCAGCAGGAGCCCTGTGAGGGAGGCCATCTCATGGCTGCCATGCACAGAGCACAGGGAGAAGCGGAGTGACACAGCACTGTAGCATCAGCGACATCCCTCACACCACTGTGGGGAGAGAGCAGAGAGTGCCCAGGGCTCAGGGGGGGGTGAGTTGTGTACCCCTACCACAGGTGAAGATTCTGTATGGAAATAAATGTACAACCAGGCTCTAGTACTTCCTGATGTGGTTATTTTGTGTTTCTATAATTCTGCTGTATGATTGACTGCTCGGGTTATTTGGTGCAGAGTCCCAGAAACTGAGAAAGATTGGACACAGTGGAGGAGATTCCTTACAACAAGCTGAAGTACTTATCAGTTTCAGGAAACATATGTATTTCCAGTAACCTTTTGCTGGCCACTTGAGAACAAATGGGTACGGTGATGGGCTGTGCAGCAACTAGGTCTCTGCAGCCTCTCTTCCCTGAAGCAAATGATGGGGAGCGGGATTCTTGTGCAGGCTTTGTCATAGAATTCCAGGAGATTTTAGGCTGGTTGCAGCTTGTCAACTACTAGGATATTTTGAGCAGAACACTGGAGTGAAAAATGAGGGCTAAAGATAGAGAAGAAGCTGGGAAATAGGGAATAGAAGGATTGAAAGGAGCTGCACGTACTTGCTAATGTGTGGCTGTTTCCACAGTTGTGCAGGCTTTTTGACTTGCCATCCATACGATGTTGTATCATGCGTAGATTTACTGGGAAACTTTTTTTTATTTTTCTTCTGCCATTTCATCCTTGGGCATCTTTGGATTTTCACTTTTACTTAATGCTTAGAGGAAACCAAAATCTCATAAAGAAATGTAACTACCTTAGTTTAAGGGAAGAATTTGACTCTGCCTCCTGGGACAAGGTGTTATGTGAGATTGAAATATATTTCTTTTTCCAAGCTTTGCAGCTCCAAAATTTTGTCTGTTTTAGTAGTTGAGGAGGAAGAGGATCTGAATGGGTCCATTGCATAATTTTGCAATCTTTGCATTTGCCCTAATTTTCAATATGATCTGGCAGACCTAGTCTTCATATCCTAATCTCTTTTGTTCATTTAATGAAGTCCTAAAACAAGTCACAATCAAACATGGCAAGTTTAACAGAATCTGCTCCACAGCTCCAGGCTAACCTGCCGCAACACTAGTGGGATTGATTACCAGTAGCTCTAAAGTGAATTTCTTGGTAGAGGTATGTGGTGGAGCTACCCTGCTGCTCTGCCTTCTGTCCATGGCACAAGCCAGTATGCTGGGTCCCTTTCTTTCACTCAAGTGCATTCCTGCATTTTAAGGAAAAGACTGACTAAAGTAATTGATTCTTCAGGCTTGACAGTGACTGCTGTGAAGGACTTTGGGGAGTGGAATTTGGAAGCTGGAGCACTGGTGCTTGCAGATGGAGGCCTTTGTTGCATTGATGAGTTCAACAGTATCAAAGAACATGACAGAACCAGCATCCATGAGGCAATGGAGCAACAAACCATCAGTGTTGCAAAGGCAGGGTAAGTGGCATGTTAACATATGTGATAAAACAATATAGGATGTTTCTCTTATACTTACAAGGTTTGTCATGCTAATTAAATATATCTATTTTCTTTGATGTACTTAAGAGTTTAGTTCTCAGCAGTATTCTTAAACTAGACAAGTCAGCATTTCCAAGGACAGTGCACTGGACCAGAGGTTGCAAGTGATCAGAATAAAGACATACCCTCTTCACGTTGAGTTTTCAATCCGCCACTTTAGGCCAGGTACTTTCCTAAGAAGACTTGGTGTTCTTTTCCTTATCCTTTGCTGCAAGTGGTCATACTAATCATATGTGAAATGAGGAACTTAGTAACTTTTTTTTGTTGCAACTCAGAAAGCGGGACTTCATTTCACCAACATCACAGAATCATAGAATCAGTTAGGTTGGAAAAGACCTCTAAGATCATCGAATCCAACCTTTGACTGATCACCACAGTATCAACTAGATCATAGCACTAAGTGCCATGTCCAGTCATTGCTTGAAAACTTCCAGGGGTGGTGGCTCCACCACCTCCCTGGGTGGCCCATTCCAATTCTTGATTACCCTTTCAGTGAAGAAGTTTTTCCTGATGTCCAGCCTGATCCTTCCCTGGCATAGCTTGAGGTTATGTCCTCTTGTCCTATCAAACCCAGTAACACTGCATGGCAACAAAAACAGATAAAGAGACTTCCAGGCTGCTGAATTTTATGTGTTGGGCATGGCATAAACTCCTGCTTACTTTTAGTTCCTCTCTCTCTTTTTTCAAAGTACTGTATGTTCAAATCTGCTATTCCCCCACACACACCCCTGCCCACCACTTGGATCTTTGAGCTCATATCTCATTCTCTCAGTCATATTCAGTTGTTGTCCAGGCCCAAATAATTTTCTGGCTGGTATTGCTGTAATTCCTGCTACTCAAACAGAATCACCCTTTTTATATTTCTTCGTATTGCGTTCAGCTCAGCTCTTGCTCCTATCACATCTTGGCTTCTCTAACTGATCATGTCCTTTCCTTATTCTGTTTCCACTCTCTTTGGCAGACAGAAGTCAAGTGATGTCAGTCTCACCTGGGTGATTACTAGCCTTTGGTAATAATGCAGCTGGGCACAAATATTTGGAATCAGTCTGATCCTGTCTCCTTAGTAAGGCAGTGACATATTTTAGCTAGGTTCCTTGTTGCGGTCAGTTGTGTTTTGTAGGCCCCAAACACTGTTTACTAACTTGCACATGTAGCCTCAGTTGCTCACTTCTAAGGACTACATATAATGAGGGGTTTTTGAGTAGTAACTTAGCACAGATAGATTAAGCACCTTGTTAATTTAGGTCTTATTTTAGTGCATGGGAGATAAGTGTTTTTTCCTGTTGGGTGTGAGCCAGTGGAAGCTCTGTGGTCCTTCCTCTCAGTTACAGAAGAACTTTGGACATGAGGCTGCACTTAGGAGCTGACTAGAAATAGCTCAGAGACAAACCAAAGTTAGAATGCTCCTACTGCTGCCTTAATCAAAAAGAGTGCATTTGGACTACTAGAATAAAAAATAACCTTGCTTCACATCTACAAGCACATGCTAGGGCATCATGGTTAAAAGAGGAAAATGGCTGCCATCATTGTTTGCTTGGGTTCATATTAATGTTTACACGTAGGAATAAAACATATGTGTATGTTACATTTTATTTTATTATCTGAAAAGTAATGTTGGTTTTCACTATTTAGGAATAGAGATATTCCTTAATATAGCTGTATATAGCGATTACTTGTGGCAATATTAGTCAGTTACTTTTGGTAGCCTGATCACTGTCTATCTAGTTGTTACTCTCCTACTGAGAAAAGCTGTACATATAATAAAAATTAATACAGTAATTGTGTACATTGTTTAGCTCTTATGCTCTTTATGGTGTAAAACCATGAAAATTTATAAACACTTTGAAATAATTTTCCCAACCAATTTAATTCAACCATAATGTTCACCATTCTTTTCTCTAGCTTGGTGTGCAAGCTTAATACAAGGACAACTATCCTGGCAGCAACAAACCCAAAAGGCCATTATGACCCTAATGAGTCTGTCTCTGTCAACATAGCTCTTGGCAGTCCCCTGTTGAGCAGATTTGACCTGGTGTTAGTATTGCTGGATACAAAGAATGAGGAATGGGACCGCATCATTTCATCCTTCATCTTGCAAAATAAAGGTAAGAGTAGTTTTTTTAAATTGTAAGGTGTTTTTTGGTTGGTTGGTTCTGGTTTTGTTTTTTCTTGGTTTCTTTTATTTCCCTACCTTTTGGTTTGTTATTCTTGAGTCTTTCATACTAATCAGTGAATACATTTTTGTTATGGTGATTTTCTGCTGTATGGTTGTTTTTCAAGTAGGACTAAGATAGAAATTAATTAGGAGGGGTGAGCTGAGAACACTATGCTTTTACTCTGTGATCATCAAGAGATTTCAGCCCAGGCTGCTCAGTAAGTGGATGGTTTCCATCCTGCACCTTTACATTGTGTGCTCTGCAGACTCTAAACTCCATGCAATTGTACTTGTGTTAATGGAAAACCTAATTCAGGCAGAACAGATTAGAGCTGCATGTGCTGCAGGGCCCAAAGAATGAACAATGGTGTTCCCAATGTGGAGCTTTGTGCTCTAGACTTAGGGAAGGCAATATGATTTAATTTTAACCAGTGCCTTCCACCATCCACTTTAGGAACATGAATTTGATCCCCATTGTGGAAGAAGTGATTAGAGGAAACTTCTTCAGCTAGCTTCCTTCTCTTTCTTAAGTATTTCCCTACAAAAAATGTTCAAAATATGGCAGAAACCTTTGGTTCCTACAAGGTAGGTAAAACAGGCAGAGGAGGTACATACACTCATGTAGGATTTTTCATTTTAAGGAATTCCAAAGCACTTAGTACTGCCTATACCATCTGGTGGGCA